ATATGGAAAATGTTCTCCTCTCTTGGGCGGGGTTCATATTGTTCTTATTGGAAGAAGTCCTACCATCTTTACAGCTGGAATATTTCGAACGGGCTTTATTGTAATTCCATTACGATCACATGGAAAGGGTTATACTATATTTGAAGTGATGTCGTTTGCTAATGGTAAACATTTTGTTTAAACTGAGATCAGTTGGAATGGGTTTTAATATCTTCAGGGCGGCATAATTGGGCGGTATCCTTTTAAAAGGGGACTTTACAGAAGGAGCGATCAGAAGAAGTGCTGATGCTGGCATAGTAGAAATATACGGAAGTTGTCCTACTTGTCTTTACACTGGAATCATTTGGAAAGGTGCTGATCTTTACAGAGGGTCACTTGGAAATTATCCCTCTGTGGTTATAGTAATATCAGATGGAAGGAGTCGTGTAATCTTTACAGTGGAATTGTTTGAAATTTATGTTATTTTATTTCCATTGTGGCATCACTTATGAGGTCGTATTCCCATTACTGTGGGATTCATTTGGAAGGGATCATGTTGTCGTTCCAGTAGGGTCACTTGTAACGGCCTTATATTCTCGTTGTGTTGGGGTCATTCGTAAAGGGTCGTGCTGTATTGTCAGTGGATCATTTGGAAGGTATCCTATTATCTTTGCAGTGAAATCGCTTGCATGAAGTCCTATTGCTTTAGAATTGGGTCATTTGGAAGGGGACTTTTTCTCTTTACAATGGGTTTTATTTTTTGTAAGGGGACATTTGTCTTTAAAAGTGGTATCCTCGAAAGGGGACAATTTGTCTTTACAATGAGATCATTTTGAGGGCTTGGGTCTTGAATTCAATGTTAACTGCGCCCAAGAAATCTGCGAATCTAAATCTAAGTGATTGATCACATTCAAAATGGAACGTACATAACTTCCATATTTGAATAGCAAATTTAGTCTGTGTTTGTCCATTTAGTTTGTTAGCACGAAAACTAAAGAAATACAATATATAATAATCAAATGTTTGTCGTAGGATTTTTTTAATTGTTTGTTTGCTTTTGTCTGCTCTGGTTTCTTTACCTGCTGTAACAAGAACAGAGGCAGAGATGCAACCGAAACTATATGCACTGTCACTGGATATGAGGATACCAATTAACGTAAACAATATGAATACTCTAATCGATTAAAAAGATTGATCTCAGTCTCGTGTTACCCCCGATATTGAAAATAATGGCCTGTTAAAAGGAGTTTGAAGTAACATAATAGTCTGCTATGGAACAAATTACTTTGACCGGGGAAAGCAATGTTCTATGATTCTAATGATACGACAATAATTCAATCATCCGAATGGAACAGTTGATATTACCTAGAAGTTCATGTTCATGAACTATGAATTTATGTGTGTGTGTGTGAGAGAGAGAGAGAGAGAGAGAGAGAGAGAGAGAGAGAGAGAGAGAGAGAGAGAGAGAGAGAGAGAGAGAGAGAGAGAGAGAGAGAGAGATTAACTTTCTGCAGTATGCTTTATCTATATCCGATAGGAAGAAAATTAGCAATTTGTCTCAAACATTGTACTGAAGAATCACTCACCCATTTCTTTCAGTGCTTCCTCAAAATTTTCACTCCTATCAAGTTTCCAATTTCCTCCCAATTGTGCCTTGATTTCTGCAAGAGCCATATCTGCTCTCACCTCTTCTCCGAAATTTAGAAATTGGATAAAAGTTCCTAGCAGAGCGACAGACGCAGACTACAGACTGCAGAGTGGGATTTCTATGCAGGCCGCCTCTACCACGAACACTTCAACCTATGGAATTTGAAAATTTATTAAATACATACTGATACAAGAATAAATATGGCACTTTAGAAGTATAGTACTAGTGGACGCGAGTGAATCTCTGCATAAAACAGACGTGTATATATATATATATATATATATATATATATATATATATATATATATATATATATATATATATATATATATATATATATATATATATATATATATAAAAGACCGTCTAAATTTAATATAATTCGCTTCTTTCACTCTTATAATTGATTTTTTTAAAAATAGTATGTGCAAGAATGAACCAGCTGAAAATTCTTGCTTGCTTCACTTGTACATACTTCAAAAGTTTGGAGTTCTGCACAGAATCAATTACCGCACGATCTTTAATTAGTTTTGATTTTTAACAGCATACTAAGAGACCCAATTGTTTTCTTTAAGCCCATTTACTAAGCATTCAGAGAAAGTTAAAAGAGATGATAGTGTCCTTGATAAAGGAAGATTATTGTCGTGTTCTCTTTTCGCTTAACATCCTCGGGGTTTAGGGGTGAAGTGTTCTTTTATTATATTCATCTTTTGTCTTGAACTAAGTTAATACAGGCAATCCAATACATCATGCATTGTCTGGTATCCATTCTCCTATACGAACCAACCATTCTTGAGAGAGATAATCCAGTAAGGAAGTACTCTTGTATTTAGCACATTTAAACTACTAAAACACAAAAGAACCTTTATTTAATAAACGTAATCTAATAAAGAGGACACTTGTGTCGTCTTAAAGTCTGGAAGGAACAAAAATGTTATTGAATGCAGACAGATAAGGTTAGTTCATTATATAAATAATATGCTTGCATTAATCGTCGATGCTATGAAAATAATTGCCATAAACATTGTTTATAAAAACTTATCGACTAATATAAAAAGTTTGTCGGACTTAATTCAGCCATTGTTTTTGTCTAAAACTTTTTCTTTTCACCACAGTCCTTATCAAAAATGTAAAACCTATGTGAAAATTTTCTTGTCAAAGCGTCAAACACACATCCCAGAGAATTCGGTTAAACTTTTATATTCCTGATTACAGTATGCCCACAGCAGGCCACGTGACAAGGAAATGGCTGCCATTCTGAAATAAGACGTTCCAAATCTAGTCATAGTTCATAGTAGATACAGTTTTAGATCTGCCATGAATTTATTTCGGCCTGAACGCCACAAGTAACTGATTAAACTAAACAACTATATCATAGAACAAATACTCGAAAGATTTTGTTTGTTTTTTTTTCTGAAGAAGAAAACAAAATCGTGTTTTCACAGGTATTTATTTAAAAAAAAACAACTGATAATTGTGCGTAATTGATATACGGCTTCTACCAATATAAAATCTTTGTACGTTGACGTGTATGTACTTGGTACAAAAATACCATATTTCAAAATACATCTATTCACACACCTTATAGCAAAACATCTGGGTAAAACAACAGGTCTCCGCAATTGTCTCGCTGATCTTTAGAAGTATATGGAAACAAGTGTGTGTTGGTGCCTAAAATCAACGAAGAATAGATTTTAGATTACAATTATAAAACCGGCATGGTTGAAACAAACACTTCTAGGAATTTATTTGTGTCTTTGGAAGTTATTATAAACTGTGTTTATTCTTTAGTTTTATTTATACTTGTCAATTCTTGCAAACAATGATTCTGAGCAAACATTCTACTCTTTGTTTTACCAACTTAATACCAATCTCCCACCCCGACTTCGTTATCTCTTCCGTTAATTCATTTTAAAATACAAGCATGCTACATGACAAGAAAGTCGGTATATTCAAAAATGTTTCAACTTAATGCAAAATGATGATAAAACACAAACGATGAAAACGTGTACTTCAATAAAGCCTCTACGACATATCAAACCACAACCATACAACTGAGCAATCACCGTAGCCCTTTTCCCCCATCCCGACGTTGTTCATAATGGCTGAAAATGACAGTTATACTTGGTTTGTCTTAAAAAAAACAAATAAAAAACATCTAGTACTTCTTTTACTGACATATTTGTCACAATTACAACGAAAAATTGGTGGCGACACGGGAGAAAATAGACAAATTCGTAATATTTCTTTATTGCCAACTCAGTCTTTTATAACTTCCGCCATCTTGAATTTCTTTACGAATATCGTCCATTCAGTCGTGCGTCCCTCGGCACGTATGCAGTGAATAGTGCGAGACCAGAACATCAGATTAACTACTTTGGTTGCTACTTACGTAATGATAGCCTTTTTCGTACAGAAAGGAGAGATCGTAATAGAAACTGTTTCCAGCAAAGGAAAGACTCCAAGCACCACCAATACCACCTGTTAAAGCTTTTACAAATTAATTGATCTGTACAAGTTTAATATATATATATATATATATATATATATATATATATATATATATATATATATATATATATATATATATATATATATATATATATATATATATATATATATATATATATATATATATATATATATATAAACATTTACAAAGTCTCTTTCTCTCTCTCTCTCTCACACACACACGTTGTGTTAATTTTACTTAAAAGAATCGGGTTTAAAAGGTGAAAAAAATTGGAGTAAATTTTAAAAAAGGTAAAATTGTTCCCTGCATCTAAATATACACCTGCTCAGTGAAGACTTCTTTGACTCATTAATAATGTACAATCCAGTTGTTGTCATCACGGTGGGGTCTCTTGCAAAGATAAAAACTCCCCATTTATTTCAGCCTTGTCATCTGATTCATTATGAACGTGACAACATACTTTGTCTTTCGCAGGTCAACTTTTATCTTTGTGCGGTGAAAATGGCATAGCTATTACGAGGTCCTGCCCGGGATGTTCGCACAGCACGTTTTTTGTTTCACGCTAAGCATAAAGATTCACAAACTACAAAATGTAAACAGGTATGATTCATTAAGCTGCCCACGTATAATTCACTGTTGTTTGAAAGTAAGTGGCCTATTTCAGTTATGAAAGGTGTAGTTTACTTAAGTTTTAGAGAGTAAATTTTGCTCTAATTACTGCTACTCCAGGCACAATTAATCGCTTTGCTTATATGTTGTTCAATTAATTAATTAATTAATTAAAACTAACGAGAATGAGACACAATCATACATTTTTTTACAGCTTTAATATTTAAATTGATAACGAGGTGTGGTTGGCAGAAATGGGTACGAAAAAATTCCGGTTAATCACGTGTACGGGGCTCCGAGTGGCCAAGTGGTCTAAGGTGCTCACCTTTACAGATCACTAACATCTCACCTATGTTTGCATGGGTTCGAGTCTCAGTTTGGCCATCACTGGTATTTGAGAAGAAGTTTGCCAGCATATTCCCGTGGGTCTGTGGTTCTTCTTGGGGTCTTCCCAGGTAAGAAATATTGCCAGTAGCGCCTCCACCAAACATATCGGCCGCCATGTATAGCCTATGGTATGCTGAAAAATGACGTTAACCCACAAACACAAACTGACCATGTGTACACATTATTTTTCATTATTTGGACTATTCGTCATAGTTAAGGAATGATGGGAGGATAATGCAAGCGTGAGTATTTTTTTCATGATTGAAATGTAGTTACACTGGCCATTCTCTTCGAATTCCTACACTTACTGTTTTATGTTCTCTTCATAACATCTGTGGTATTGAATAACATTATAAACTTTAGCGATCAATTAGAGAATAAACAGGCTATGAAAATTAAATTTGCATTGATTTCCTTAGCGACTTTAAATGCAGAATTTATTTCTTAACTAAAGATAACAGGAAGGCATTGTTTGTAAAATCTGCTTTGCTTATAATGTAATTGACTGCGGCATAATATTTCAGGGCACTTAGTACAGATTTCTTTGCAACGTATCGATCGTGCACGAACATTAAGTGCAGATGGTTTTTATAAACAATTTTAATACACGGGAAATGCTTCTTCCAGCGAATTTCTGGTTCACTTAAAGTGCATATCATGTGGATTAGAAAAGAAATTCCAGAGAAGCAAAGTGTAATCCGTATTATTAGTATTCAGCAACAACCTTTAATGGGTTTTTCTTTCAGACTTGAATAATGGAGGGCCCCGAGTGGCCGAGTGGTCTAAAGCGCTGACCGTTACGGATCACTGCCATCTCACCTCTGTCTGCGTGAGTTTGAGTCCAGACTCGGTTAACGTGGGTACGTGAGAAAGCCTGCCAGTAGCTTCTCGTTGGTCGGTGGTTATTTCCTGGGTTTTCCAGGTGTCTTCCTCCACCATTAATACTGGCCGCCATGTATAGCCTATGTTGTGCTGAAAAATGGCGTTAAACCCTACAGCAACAGCAACTTGAAAAATGAATAATGCAGATCAGTGAAATACGCATAATAATAATAATAATAATAATAATAATAATAATAATAATAATAATAATAATAATAATAATAATAATAATAATAATAAACAACTTAAATGAGGATAACACATTTGGTAATGACTGACCCATCTGCCTTGTGGTCCTCAGTTTTTGTAATTGGTTATGTTTAAAGTAACAACTAAAAAAATATAAAAATTATGGAATCTGTATCAAATAATCATCAGAAATAATGACTTCATGAAAAGTAACTTCATATTGGTCGTGTGATGGGCCATGATACTTAGAATAGTGGTTAGCGACCGATATTCACGACCGAAAGTGTGCGAGTTCGAACATACCTTCGGAACGGCCTGAGTTAGCTCCTATGGTGTGTTCTTAGACAAGGCACTTGTGTTGCTGTTCCATAAAACACGAAATCAAACCAAAACTCAAAACTGAATGGCATGTGACCATTGTCTTAACCACTGGTTGCAATTTACAATGAAGATTACATGCAAACAAACGGATAGCCAATTTTGACACAGATGACATCGAAGGGTAAACATATAGTTAACTGAGTCAAATACTCGCAGATATAAACTCTGCCGACAATCTCGTGCATAAAACTTAAGCGTGTGCGTGTGTGATTTGGAATTTTATGATAGCTTTAACAATTTTTAACAATTTTTCATTCATATTGCTACCTTGTCCAGCTCTGGGGGATCATGCCGCAGACATGTAGCATAATGTCCCACCCAGTCACATTAACCTGACTCCAGGCCGACCAGTCAAAACACTAATCTCTTTATGCTGAGCGTCATGCGAGGCATCTGTTAGTGACATTTTTTAAAATAATAAATATTTGGTATGATTTAGCCGGGGTTTGAAACCGTGACCTCCCGCATCCGAGGTGGACGCTCTAACCAATGAGGACACCGGAGTAGTACATAAAGGTTAAACGGATAGAATAACACAGATAAAACAGAAAGAAAACAAAATATATAAATGTGTGGGTAGCAACGCGTGTGTGTGGGTGTAGATGAAAAGAGTGAGCTCCTGTATTGATTAGCTACCTAATAAAATATATAACCATACTTGATGACATTTACAGTCTGTTAAATGTCAGCGTAATTATCGTGAATAACGTCAATAGTATTTGAACAAGTCAATCTAACAAAGTAATTTTTTAAATACAATATTTGATTGCTGGGAACAAAATAGCATCCGTTCCCAAATCAATTCTTGGCTCTATTGTTATTTAAATAGAGATGAACAAATAAACGATCTCTCAATGCAAGCTGAACAATAAATTAATCTCTCTCAAATACAAGCTATCATATCAACTCCTTTTGTTGTCGTAAGCAATTGTGCTGAAGTCGGATTCGAAGT